GATATCTGAAAGAAGGTTAATTAGAAGGTTAAACCTGTTTCCCATTCCAGAGAGATGGAATAATGGGCTAAAATTACAGAAAGGCAATTTCCACTTAATGTTTGAAAAATACTTCTTAACAATAACATTAGTTCAGACTGATAAGAGTTGTTTTTTTGATATGCAGATGACTTATGGTGATTTATTAAATAAAGGTAGTCCTCAACTTATGATTACAATTCAGCCCAAAAATTTATGTTGTTAAGTGAGAAATTTGTTACGCAAGTTTGTTCCATTTTACGACTTCTCGCCCCATTTGCTAAATGAATCACTGCAGTTCTTAAATTAGTAAAATGTTTGTTAAGTGAATCTGGTTTCCCCATTGACTTTGTTCGTCAGAAGGTCACAGAAGGGGATCACATGACTCCGGAACACTGCAATTGTCATAAATGTGAGTTAGTTGTCAAGCAACCGAATGTAAATCACATGACCTTGGGGCTGCTGCAATGGTCATAAGGGTGAAAAATGGTCATAAGTAACTTTGAATGGCCACTGTTGTAAGTCGAGGACTACCTGTATTTAAAACCAGGTAATGTGTACTCAAATGAGTGTAAAAGAGTTCTGAAACTTACTTTTTCCTCCCTAAGATGACTGAGCCGATCACTCTAAATGTGGGTGGACACTTGTATACGACATCGTTTACAACTCTCTCGAGGTATCCGGATTCGATGTTGGGGGCCATGTTCAGGGGCGGTTTCCCGACTGCCAGAGATTCTCAGGGCAATTACTTCATTGACCGAGATGGGCCACTTTTCCGGTACATTCTCAACTTTTTACGAACCTCAGAGCTAACACTACCTTTGGATTTTAAGGAATACGATCTGCTTCGGAAAGAGGCGGATTTTTACCAGATCGAACCCTTAATACAATGTCTGAATGATCCTAAACCTTTGTATTCGGTGGATACTTTTGAAGAGGTAGTAGAGTTGTCTAGTACACGCAAACTATCAAAGTACTCCAACCCAGTGGCAGTGATCATCACACAGCTAACCATCACAACCAAGGTCCACTCATTGCTGGAAGGCATTTCCAACTATTTCACCAAGTGGAATAAGCATATGATGGACACCAGGGACTGCCAAGTTTCTTTCACATTTGGGCCCTGCGATTACCACCAAGAAGTCTCTCTCAGAGTCCACCTGATGGAGTATATAACAAAGCAAGGCTTCACCATCCGAAACACGAGGGTCCACCACATGAGTGAACGAGCCAATGAAAACACAGTCGAGCACAACTGGACTTTCTGCAGGCTGGCGCGGAAATCAGATGATTGATTTTCCATTCATTCTCTTGTTTTTAATTTTCAAGAAGATGACCCAGCATCCTTAGAACAATGCATTAGGAATGGGTCTGGCTTTGTCTAAAACAGTATTGGAGGCTTTCTGTTCTTATTTTGTTATGAATATTTATTATTGGTTTTTAAAGATTGGAGAGTGGACATGTGCTGGACTCTTCTGTCTTTTGTCTCGTGAGAAACGTATGCATGTGGCTGCTCTTAATATTATGACTTTTTAAAAACAAGGGATAAACAAGAGGGCATCCTTTAAAAACATGGCAGATGATCACATTATAACATTTGTGTTTTGTTATGGTCATGGACCACAATATAGAATGATAAAAATCAGCGTCCAGGTTTAAACTGCTTAATTCATCCCCTTATTATTACAACGTCTGGGAAAAAGCGTTAAAGAGTTAAATAAAGAGTTAAAACACGAGAAATTCCTTCTGGAATCTGGATTGTCCCCAGAAATGGCTACGGTGCTTTTGGAGATGAAATACTGCCATCATGTAACCTAACCTTGTTTTTCCTTAATCAGTGAGTGAACAGTATTATAACAATTTAGTTACCAACAAACCTCCATTGCTTTTATTTTCCAAAATGCAGCATTTTGCAGTTATGGCAACTGTTCCTTTCTATGCATTATAAATCAAGCAACCAAATATTATATCTGCAGCTATGAAAGTACAATTAGAAGTATTTATATTGGATTCTGAATGCAAATCCATCCTGTGGTAGAAATCCTTGTTTTTTAATGCCATGTGCAATATTATGTCCAAATGTAATGCTTTTCAACAAAACGCTAATAAAACACAGTCTGGAAATTATATTTGCAAGCTGTTTGTTCCTATCTATTTTCCTACTTATTTGTTTTATACTCTAGGACATGTAATAATAGCAAAGGAAAGAACATTTGAAGTAGAGACAGAACTTAAAATTATTGGCTAGGCTTTTCAAAGCACTTGTAAATGGAAAATAGGCTGGACAATGCAAATGACATTTTCTTAGAATAGGAACCAATATGCCGTACCTCCTCTTCTGATCTCTGCCCCATCTGATAATTAAATGAGAAGTTGGCATGCTATACAAAGCCCTACTCTCTAGTGTAGCGTTTGTTCCCTAGGGGAGCCTTTGGCCTCATGTAAGGCATTCTTTGAAAATGAAGTAGGTTGGGGTGCAGAGAGCAAAAACTGGTTGCAGAAGCGAGTTTATTATTTTGGTTCTGATAAATTGCATTTTTGCCTATGCCGTTTAGAGCAATTGTTTCATGAATAAGTTATCTTTCCATGGCAATCCTTTGTTGACAATCTCCCNGCTGACTCTGTAAACCACTTAGACAGGGCTGGAAAGCATTGTGAAGCAGTATATAAATCTAAGTACTAATGCTACTGTTATTTCATTGATTCTTCTCACCTGGTGATTGGTTGGTGACTTCTTGGCCCACTCATAAAGCCTCTGATAGGCATGGCCATCATAGCTTCCCAGGGCTGAATTTAAAAGTGCATCAGAAAAGTCAAAAGCATCCACCAATGGCACTGCATCTCTCCTGAAAGAGCACAGAAAATACTTTATGAGTCATAATTTATCAGTCATTAGTTCTACCCTATAAAGCACTCAAAGTACAACCCAAATATCCAGCAGAAGTTTTCATATAGACATCAAACTTGACTGAACTCAGATTAGAGAAAATAAGAACTAAAGGTACAGATTAGAGGTAGCAGCAATTTTTAAGCATCCATGTAAATAAGTTTTTTAAAAAAATCAAGCAATAGTAGAACATGTCACTCATGGCAGGAAATGGATAAATCACCACTGGGATTGAAGTACCTAGAGAGAGAATCTGTGGCTGTCCAAATACTACAGAACTACAGCTCTCAGTATCTCTTGCCATTGGCCCTGGCCTTAAGTTCCTGCTAGTAGTAATTTGGGTCCCAGACTTCTGTCTCTACAGAAGCACATGTGCCTCTAAGTTTGTAAAATCTAGAACAACAGGAATTCAGAAGCAAATGTCAAGAATCAGTAACTGAGCATGGAAGCTAATGAAAGTTATGCATATGAGCCAGAATGAAAAAGGTAATTTGATTAACAATTTGCATAAGGTAAACAATAGTATAAAGAGTTAATTTTATTCACAATACAACTCCCATTTATTAATATAATTAACAATAATTATATTATAAACAGTAGTGCAGCATAAACTATCCTTCATCTCATATAACAAAGTTATATGCTAGAGCAAAAATTTAGTCGGCATACCAGCTGAATAAAGTCATATATCTTGCTCTTGTCAACTCTTTTAAATTTTAATCCAAGTCTTGTCCCTCTCCTTTCCAGAAACCTAACCCCTTGCCCCATACCCTTTGCATTTACTTTTATCTCTTCCCCTATTTATGCAGACTTCAATTGCATCTTTTTGGGGGGTGGGGTTTAACATTGATGGCTCTAATTTTAATTCTGGTTTTAAGTACATTATAATTCCCATTTTCTAAAATACTAGTTTCTCCAAATTTCCTCCCAAATAATATCATCACTTTCATTTTTAATTCCATTCATTTTACTGGAGGCTGCTTTTTTACCCTTTCCACCCACTTCTAAAAAATCTCACCTTCTAATTTCCCTCTACATTTTTTCTTCGTTTGCTGTTTGATTACAGTACATTCTTTGAACTTATATGCATATCACTTCAACAAAACTGAAACTATGTGCCATAATTCTCTGCCAATATAACCAGGTTCTGCAAGCTTTATAAATTATATACACAGTCCATTTGTTTCACAATATAATTGTTCTATTAACTGAAGATAAAGCAAGAAGCTTATTGGAGCTATGCCCTCTTACGACCACTGGAAATTTTTCTCAGCGGTTCCATTCACCCTGGTTTGCTCCCAAAACAAATCAGCCTTTTTACAATCTTAAAGACTAGGATGATTCTCAGACCCCCCAAAAGACATATAATCCTGTTTTACAGAGGAAAGGAATGGGTTGGGGTAAGGTGGGGGGAATACTAGGATAGTATTTCAATGGTAGCAATAGAACACAAAATGAAAAAAGTAGTAATTATGGTTTTGTTTATAATAAGTCAAGCACATTAGACCTAGGCTGCTTTTCTGCACTCTGTAAAAATCAACATGTCTTATATGCTGCCAAACAGATGTTGCTTCTCCCATTTATTTTCACTCTTGTCAAACAAGATTTATATATTGCTAAAACTTTTCTGTCTGTAACCTTTAACAGGGCAAAATATTGTGTCATAAGGCAAAACTTTGTCAGCAAAGGTACAGTGCTGGGCTAACCTGTAGAATGCCAGGATCCATTATTCCTGAGGGAATGAAATGTGGGAAAGTTGTGGCTGCTTCAGCACTGCTGGGCTGCTGCTATGGTCATGGGATCCTTTTTTAACAGGGGTGTCAAACTGGATTTCTTCAAGGGATGGATCAGCATTGTAGTTCTCCTCTGTGGGCTGGCTGTGTGTGTGTGTGTGTGTGTGTGCTTAAATCTTAAAGAACCCCATGTCCCGTTTTGGCCAGCAGAATGCTGTAGTAGGCCGTCCAGGCCAAAACACACACACACCCTCGTGCCCTGTTTTGGCTG